TGGATTTTTTAAAGGATATTTTTGAGGTTTAGATTTTTAAGGACTATACAACTGGATTTTTCAACGAATAATTTTTGAAGGTCTACAGTAGGCGTGGATTTTTAAGGACTATAAACCTATATGTTAGGCGTGGATTTTTAAAGACTATAAACCTAGATTTTAGGCGTGGATTTTTAAGGACTATAAACCTAGATTTTAGGCGTGGATTTTTAAGGACTATAAACCTAGATTTTAGGCGTGGATTTTTAAGGACTATAAACCTAGATTTTAGGCGTGGATTTTTAAGGACTATAAACCTAGATTTTAGGCGTGGACTATAAACCTAGATTTTAGGCGTGGATTTTTAAGGACTATAAACCTAGATTTTGCGCGTGGATTTTTAAGAACTATAAACATAGATTTTGGGCGTGGATTTTTAAGGACTATAAACCTAGATTTTAGGCGTGGATTTTTAAGGACTATAAACCTAGATTTTGGGCGTGGATTTTTAGCGACTATAAACCTAGATTTTAGGCGTGGATTTTTAAGGACTATAAACCTAGATTTTGGGCGTGGATTTTTAGCGACTATAAACCTAGATTTTGGGCGTGGATTTTTAGCGACTATAAACCTAGATTTTAGGCGTGGATTTTTAAGGACTATAAACCTAGATTTTAGGCGTGGATTTTTTGAGGACTATAAACCTGGAATTTTTAAGGACGAAAAACTTGGATTTTTTGAGGACTATAAACCTGGAATTTTTAAGGACAAAAAACTTGGATTTTTTGAGGACTATAAACCTGGATTTTTTTTGAGGACTATAAACAAAAAACTTGGATTTTTTGATTTTTTTAAGGACAAAAAACTTGGATTTTTTGAGGACTATAAACCTGGAATTTTTAAGGACAAAAAACTTGGATTTTTTGAGGACTATAAACCTGGAATTTTTAAGGACAAAAAACTTGGATTTTTTGAGGACTATAAACCTGGAATTTTTAAGGACAAAAAACTTGGATTTTTTGAGGACTATAAACCTGGAATTTTTAAGGACAAAAAACTATGGGAGTTTTCGGAGAACATTTTTCTTTTCTATAATCCTGGATTTTTTTAAAGAGTATTTTTTAAAGTCTCAATGAGCGTGGATTTTCAAAAAAAAAAAAATTTTTCAAAATCACTATGAACTTGGATTTTTCAAAGAATATTTCCTAAAGGACTCTATGGGTCTGGAGTTTTTAAAGATATCCTCAACTTTGTTTTTATTTCCATTAACTATTAACGAATGGCAACTGTCCTGTAAATATGTATATTTAATGTAAATATAATTCCTTTGATGGAAATATAATCTTATTACGATAATGCGCTTTAAAAGAGATAATGACCAACGAGTATAAAATACATCGAATAATTTTTTTTATAATCTCTTTTCACTCAACAATATTAATTTAATATTAACTGAAATTACTTTTATAAATTTTCGACTTCAAGGTCGTCTCAAGTTGTACTTATCTAACAGCATTCATTCACGTACAGATATACATGCAACCATAAAATCACTGGTTCCCTGGAAAAATCAACACCAAATACTATAGGAATTTTACTTACTGACTATGGAGAAAACACAAAAACAATAACATTAAATATGCATATACAAACATTCATATATCATACAATTTTTGTCTCCATACGCAAAAAAAAAATCAAAAAAGTTAACCATGGTAACCAATGACACGTGCCATAACACTAATAATTGTAATAAGCTCCCCTCGAGACACACATACAAAACGTCCCATGAACATACGGACTTTGAGGACGACTGAACAAAAAAAATATAGAAGAAATATTTCAATATTTTTGTTTACATCGAAAAAGGAAACCCAAGGCAATAAGAACAAAAAAAATGGACAATAAAACACTTTGCATCCGGTTGCTTTCTGTCATTGTACTTGGCCAATTGTAAGCAACAACTGATTGTTGCTTATTCTGTGTGTGACATACATATACATTGATATGCTGCTGATGGAAGGTTTCGAAACAGCTGTTATCCTTTGTTTCTTTTTTTAGAGAGGATATAACATAGAGCTTTTTATGTTGAATTTGTTATGCGCACATCTCTTTAAAGGGATACATCTATATACTCTTATAAGCGAAAAACTCTTACAAAGGGTCTTAGTAATATAAGAGTTGTCTCCTCTCTTAATTGGGAAATATTGAACGCATAACCGACAAGACAACTTTGAAAAAATATTCTTTGAAAAATCCACGCCTATAGAATTCCTTAAAAAAATATTCCTTAAACAATTCTATGAAAGATCCACGTCTATAATAGTCCTTGAAAAAATATTCTTAAAAAAATTCACGCCTGGAAACACCTTGAAAAAATATTATTTAAAAAAGAATTCACTCCAGTAGATGAGCCCATACACCGACGGAAGACAAAGATGAACAGACCATGCCCTGGCATTAAAATTCTGCTAGGAGATTTTAATGCAAAAATAGGAAGGGAAAATATTTTTGGTCCCACTGTCGGGAGAAAAGGAGAGAGGAGAAACGAAAAAAGAAGAAAGAACAAGAAAAACGTGAGCGTAAGCAAATCGAGATTTACAGGAGTCAGAATGAAGTCCGAAATTTCTTCCAACGAGTAAAACACCAAACCGTAGGCTTTGGTGCAGGCAGCACATCCTCCTGTAGATATGAAGAAGGAAACCTGGCTATAGAAAGCGTGCTGAGGATCTGGAAGGAGCATTTTGAAAAACTTCTGGTATCTAATAGTAGCGGTGAAGAGGATACCCCTGAACCAATAGTAGATGACGGTATAGAGTGTACCACCTAGCCAAGATGAGGTCAGAATAGCAATCAATCGGCTGAAGAATAATAAAGCAGCAGGTGCCGACGGTTTTCAAGTCGAACTATTCAAAACTGGTGGTCACATGCTGGTAAGGAGCATGCACCAGCTGATTAGTACAATTTGGCTAGAGGAAAGCATGCCCAATGATTGGAACCTCAGCATCCTGTGTCCCGTGCACAAAAAAGGAGACAAGACGATATGTCGCATATAAAGTGCTATCCAGCGTACTGTGTGAACGACTGAAGCCAATGACCAATGACATTATTGGACCATACCAATGCGGCTTCATACCGGACAAATTCACCATTGACCAGATTTTCACTCTGCGCCAAATCCTGGAAAAGACCCACGAAAAACACGTGGTTCACGCAGAAGGGGAAGGCCACGAATAAGAGGGAAAGATCAAATGGAGGACAACATTGCCAAATATGATCTTTCAAACTGGAAAAACTGCGCAAAAGACCGACGCGCCTGGAAATCTTTTAAGCTCGGCTTATGGAACGAAACTTCTGTCACAAGCCACCTAAGTAAGTAAGTAGTCCTTGAAAAAATATTCTTTAAAAAATCCATGCCTATAGTGGTCCTTGAAAAAATATTCTTTAAAAAATCCACGCCTGTAATCACATTAAAAAAATATTCTTTAAAAAATTCCACGCCTATAGTAGAATCCGTGACTATATCTCAGAGATATGATGAGTTCCATAACTCATTATTAAAAAAAAAAAAAAAAACAAATAATAAAAAATCGAACTTACCTTTTTATTATCCATTGAATTTTCTTAACCCGCCTTCTATGGAATTTTAAAAAATTGAAAGTCCATGTATTTGTTCATTGTTGTTGTTTTTTGTTTTTATTATTGGTGATTTGATCTTTGAGCTTCTTCGTTCGGTATTGTGTATATATTTTCAAAATTTTGCATTTGTTTTATTATTGTTTGTTTGTTTGTTTTTATAAATTTTAATTTAATTAGTTGTTTATTTGTTTGTGCTTGAGCCAAGCTATAAATTAAAAAAAGAAAAAAATATATGTGAATGAAATAAACAAAAACAAAAATATTTTTTATGTTAATAAGTACGAAAATAAATAAGTGCGTATGTGTTACTAAGTTATTTTTTTGGAAAAAAAAACTAAATTAAACAAAAAAGTAAAACAAATACAGTCATATGTGGTAATAAGGAATTTGGATTCTTATACAATACATGCGGATCAGAATTCTATGGGAACAATTTTGTTGATGCCGTTGGAAATAAAAAAAATTATTTTTTTAGAATTAAAATCAGCACTGGAGTTACTAATAAATTCAATTTAATTGAGGTTTTGGCAATCATGGCTATACAAGTGTGGATGCTTTGACCTAGAAGCCACAATGATTACAAACGACTTTAAAAAGCGTTTCTACGGCAGAGATGTCTACGATCCGAAACGACCTCAGTCATACTCGGTCAACGCTTGTCACCTTAGCCCATTGTGGCCAGATTCGTAGAAATTTAATTCCTTATATTTCCAACAAGCTCTATCCAGTGCTTTGCAATTCTGACCCTTACCATCATTAAATAATGGTCATTCATTTCCAATCAGTTCCTTATAACCACTATAAAACTGTATTCCCTATAAAAATATAGAAAATAAATATATATATTTGTGTGTATGTTTGTGTTTCATTAAATGGACTAATAATAATTTAGCAGTTTAGAACTCTTACTACAAAACAAAATTATAGAATACTTAAAATTGACTTTTTAGGCTTAGTTTTCATTTCATATGTAGATTTGTTTTTTCTTTATAATTATAAATCGTTTCTAATAAACGTATGTAAGCAGTTTTGTTATTTAGTTATACTTATAGATTTCTTAGTTTTTTTATAAATTGTCTAGTTTAAGAGATGTGTATGTTTGTTGGATTTAATTTTTCTTTTTTGTATACTTATTATTTGTAATAATATTTATATTGTGTGTTTTTATCTAGCTGAAGAAAGGAAGAAGGAAAGAAAGAAAAAACAAATACTATTTTTATTGTGTGTGTGTGTAACCTCAACTCTTCTAAAAAAACCCCCCTAACTAACTTTTCCCTCAACTACTGCTAAAACTAATGGCGTAAAAATCCCCCTCTCAAACCTATTATCACCCCCACCCCACCCCAGCCTAACCATTTTCTTTTTTCTCTCTCGTTTTTCGTTCAAAACATACCATCGGAATGAGCTATGGGTATTAATAATATTAGAAATATTATAAAATTACGTGTTACTAATTTCCAGTCATTTGGTACTGCAAATGGCAGTAATATTTGTGTGATGCGATGTACTTCGTGTGAGGCACACACGAATATAAACGAGGTGATAATCATATTGAGTGTGGGAAAGCCGGGCAGCAGCACCAGCACACCATGGCGATCGGCTGCCAACCATATATGATATTGACAGATGAACAACTCCAATGATATGCGTCCGAACCAGGCGAAAAATGTTGAGTAGCGGGTACGCAATATACCCGATATATTACGTAGAATAATATAACCTATGATGGGTATAAAAACAATATACGAATGTATTTCCTCGCAATTTTGCTCGTTACGACAAAGGAATGAAAATGCCGTATAGAAACCCACACCCAACAACGCCAACAGTGTAACCGTTATCGAGGTACGTCGGGCAAATAAATTACCATGATTATTATCATCAAAAATGCTATATTTCTGAGCAATATGAAAACATGCGGCAAATATCATACCAAACATAACCGTATACCGATCCAATTTCCATTGATACCACCAATCATGGATGTCATCATCGGTGGTAACGAATAAAGCCTTCCAGGGCCTTGTAACAAATATTCGCTCGAAAAACACCTCCGACATAAAGAGTATGGTGACGACACTAAAACAACCTACAAATTTGCCAACTAAATACAGATAATGCAAGGGATTTGCCTCCACGGTACTGGCGGTGATGCGCGGCGGGATGGACAACAAAAAATATATAACACACATCCAAAACGATAGCAATGGCACAAAATAATAAAACTGATATGGACGATTCATACAAAAACACAGAATGACAGTCATAAAATTTAAACGGAACATCACCTGGAAAAATCGTACATATCCCGAATTACCCGTTTGCCACATATACGAGAAATGGGTATAGCCCGTATGGAACAGATAACCACTTAACAATAACTTAATATGCATGTGTATGGGTAGCACCCGATCAGCACCGGTCATATAATAAATAAGCACCACCAATAATATCCAACCCTTTAGCTCATCCGATTGATCACGATTGAGAACTTTGGTAAATCTTGAATCTTCGGTGAAGAAAAGACCCAAAGCGAAGACATAACCTACAGGTATCCAAAAACTAAATTCCGAATAGTATTTGTTTTCTTTCATAAAGAAATTTGTGCGATCACATAAATAAAAATAAGCCATAATAATACCCAACATGGCCAGGGCCACAATGGGTGTAGAGTAGTCGATACGTGTTAGACCCGTTGTTATTCCACCGGCTCCTCCATTGACGTTGTTAGGAGTCGGTGTTGTTGTTGTGTTTGGAGCTATATGAAGACCATGTCTTTCAGCTCGTAATGGTGTGTAGAGAGTATGTCCGCGTAAATGTAATAGCCAGCGTCGCAGAAATATGCCGCATACCAAAACAATGCTGGAAAAAATATAAAGAATACAAAAATCATTATAAACAGATCAAAATAATTTACTTAAAATAATTTAAAAAAGGCTTAGTTCGACTGGGCCGAAAATGCTGAAAATGGATCCATGAGGAAAATGGAGGCTAGAAAAAATATTTGTTTTCAGGGACCATATGAGACGTGGATTTATTTAAGAATATTTTTCAAGGCCCATTTGGAGGTGTGCATTTATTTAAGAATATTTTTTCAAGACCCATTTGGAGGCGAGGATTTATTTAAGAATATTTTTCATGGCCTATTTGGAGGCTTGAATTATTTTAAGAATATTTTTTAAGGTCCGTATGAGGCCTGGATTTATTTAAGAATATTTTTCAGGGATCATATGAAGATTTATTAAGAATTTTGTAGGGACCATTGGGGCATGGATTTATTTAAGAATACTTTTCAAGCGTCGTTGGAATCTTGGATTTATTTAAAAATATTTCTCATGGCACATTTGGAGGCTTGGATTTATTTAAAAATATTTCTCATGGCACATTTGGAGGCGTGGATTTATTTAAGAATAGTTTTCCAGGCCCATTTGGAGGCGTGGATTTATTTAGGAAAAGTTTTAAAGGACCATTTTAGGCTTGGATTTATTTAAGAATAGTTTTCAAGGCCCATTTGGAGGCTTGGATTTATTTAAGAATAGTATTCAAGGCCCATTTGGAGGCGTGGATTTATTTAAGAATAGTTTTCAAGGCCCATTTGGAGGCGTGGATTTATTAAAGAATAGTTTTCAAGGGCCAACTGAGGCGTGGATTTATTTAAGAATATTTTTCAAGGGCCAACTGAGGCGTAGATTTGAGGCGTGGATTTATTTAAGAATATTTTTCAAGGGCCAACTGAGGCGTGGATTTATTTAAGAATATTTTTCAAGGGCCAACTGAGGCGTGGATTTATTAAAGAATAGTTTTCAAGGGCCAACTGAGGCGTGGATTTATTTAAGAATATTTTTCAAGGGCCAACTGAGGCGTGGATTTATTTAAGAATATTTTTCAAGGCCCATTTGGAGGGGTGGATTTATTTAAGAAAAAATTTCAAGGACCATTTGGAGGCTTGGATTTATTTAAGAATAGATTTCAAGGACCATTTGGAGGCTTGGATTTATTTAAGAATAGATTTCAAGGACCATTTGGAGGCTTGGATTTATTTAAGAATAGATTTCAAGGCCCATTTGTAGGCGTGGATTTATTTTAGAATAGATTTCAAGGCCCATTTGTAGGCTTGGATTTATTTAAGAATATTTTTCAAAGATAAAAAAATCTCAATACTCACCACACACCAAAAACAGCATATGTAACTATCTGCAATACCGTATACGGTTCCGCACTGCTACAACAACTACCATCATTATAATTCATATTATCATTACAGTACATATTCAACAGCAGCTGGGTGTAGTGTTTCAAACCCAATGTACACAACTTATAACCATCTATGGCCGTATCTACCAGACCATTTGATATTTGCCATGCTGCCTCCCACACCGTCGCATCCGTATAACGAAATACACTTCGTGCTATACGATTCAGCCGATCGATATCTTCATTCTTAATCAATTTCCATGAATCGATTAATTTCTCCTCATTAACACGATCTTGTAATTTCCATAGGACCGTTGATTTTCCAGCTACCAATTGATCGAATGGCATTACAAGTCGTGTTAAATTCGTTTGATATTGTTTTAGCAAATCATCGGTTACGTTGCCTTTTAAAAAGTTACGATATGTAAAACCAACAATAAATACAGCTCTCACTTCTTTTGTATCTTGCAATTTGGATAGGGTCTCGAGTAAGCTATCTGAAACCTCATTGGCATAAATATAAGTGACACGCATTTTTAATTTACTATCATCGAATTCGGTATCACTTAGCGGTTGTTGTTCCTGTTCTTGTTCGTGTTGTTGCGGTGTTTGGTGTAGCTTTGAGTTGTTATCATCATCATTCGGATGCAGATGATTTATGAATTCTTTGTACACCTCATGAACGGAATAATCACCTATGAAAATGAAATGATTTTTATAGCCCCAAAATGCTAGATAACGTAAACATCGTCGGGTATCACTGCAAATAGAGAAACAGAAAAAATAAATAAACTATATTCTATTTTGAATACTTATTAAATTTTTAGTAGATGATAGGTAGCAATTTTGACTTTTTAGACAATAAGTAGAATAATATAAAGAATATTTGCATTCCATCTAAGCGGAATGAATATGCACCATGGCCTTATAGATTTTCTAAGGTAATATTTTTATCAATTAACAATGTATGGATTTCTTTGATAGAAGACCTCCTTGGAGTTTTCAAAAAAAATGATTCCAAGGACGCTATAATTTTATATCATTAGCATATGCTTTGGAAGTTGGTGTAGAAGACCTCTCCGTATTATTTCCTTCATTACATATGATTGTCAAAACAACATTTTCCAAAACATCCTGCTGCCATTCAAAATGACATACTCTGACAAATCTGAAGCTACCACATACTACTCATGATTGTTTAGGCAGCCGTTCGACATCTGGTGCTACGAATGACTATGTATGAATGCTATTCAGAACTTCCTAGTAGACATGTTGATCTAGAGATTCACGCTGGTACCGTTGGATCTCTCATTTTTATAGATAATAAAGATCTCCTCCAAGGTGTCTCGGTGGGGGAATCCTGTCTATAAAGCTGTGTCAGTAGTCATCCCGAAGATAACACACGAGCAGGTACATTTAGACATGCCGTTGGACAGATATGACTTTCACCTTCTCCTTTATTAGTTTTCAGGGTGGCATTCTGGCGTTTTAAATGTTTTATAAGGATTTCGACATATCAAAGGCCACCAAAAACGATTCTACTGCGCTGCCTGTGTTTGTGGTTCAGACCTCTTTTTATAGGTGTAAATACGGTGTGTGGATAACTGAGAATCTGCTTCTAATCCTTGGTGTCCTTGTCTGACTTCAGTTGTGGAGTCATAGGTTGAGTATAGCTCTTAAATGCTTAATTCTTCGATGTTTTGTATACCTTTGCTATAAAAATGAAATCTTCAACATCGTCATGGTGCTGTATAAACTGGCGGTTCAGTAACCTCTTTGCATCTGCCATCGTTACAATTTACTGGTTCCGATTATGTAGGTGCAGCTACTTTTTCCTCTTTAGTTCACATCGTCGCCTCGGCTGGGAATTTCGGTCATACTTCGGATATTCGTCCAGCAGGTATGTATATAGGGGGTGGCTTCTCGGAAATTCGTCTAATGGATTTGGCAGCTCTCAGATGCGATGATTGCTTACATCTCTGAAAACTTTCCAATCAGTTGAACCATGGTTCGGGAAAGTACGGCTTTCAGAGTTTATAAAAAACAGGTGACCTATTACCGGAAACGATGTTGGGGACGGGACCAAGTGGTGTAACAAAAAAGCAGGACTACCATATCCGCTTCTGATACGATGCATCCGAACAACATTATAATCAGCAGAACGCTGTAAACTGGTTCTTAGTGAGCTTTGTTTCCTGGATCGCAGCTCCCAAATTCATCTTCGACACTTACATTTGTGAATTTAGTCTGGCGAGGGGTGGCATTGTTCTTAAATTGCTTACTCAGACCATAGTAGCATCTGCTGGCCAACACTATCCTTCTTCGAATTTCAAAACTGATGTCATTAGTTCTATTTATGGCGGTACCGAGGTATATAAAATCTTTGACTTCCTCGAAGCAGTATTTGTACATCTGGTGTGACCTGGGGTAGCTACTTTAATCACCCCTTGAAATAGTGAGCTGATATGTGTTCATCTATAAGAACTATAAAAAATTGTGTTGAGGCGTCGTGTTAGTACCTACATTCGGAAAACCCCTCCTACTATGAAAAACGCAAAGAACCCCCTAATGTTGACGATCGTGGCAAATTTATATATAAATTTCGGAACTTCGTCGAGGGGTAAGGCAGGGAACTTAAGATCCCTATATCTCATGAAGTATAGAGTTTACGATGAAAATCATATATATGCGTGATCAGGGTGATTCCAATTGCCACTAACTTTATTTAAAAATTTGTAACTTATTTGCAGAGAAGTTTCCTTTGTAGAGGCCTTCTATAGTTAAAAGCCACCTTATAGGTGTTCATATGCGGCAATTGTTATATTCATACAATGTAATACAAAAAAATTGCACTCGGCACTATACACCTCTCAAATTGATATAAGTGTCGTACATACAAGAGTATAAGTGGCAATTGCATTACAATCATAAACTTAATGTCAATGACCCGATACATACATATATAAAGACAACATGTCGATAAAAGGCTAAAAAGCGCATTTAACACTTCACTCCCAAAAACAATAACAATAACAGCAGCAACAGCAACAAAGTGAACAACCAATCCCACGGCAGCGGGTTCTACGATACCGGATTGACCCGATTTATTTCGGCCAGCGGCTGCCAACCCAGTTATATATGTTTGTATTGTTTTTCTGTTTTGGGAGCAACATATCCCGGAATGCTTGCTCCGGATTCTTTTGGTCCGTGCCGGGATCGAACAAAACCCCGGACCGTGGTTCTGTTCGGTTTGCCAGAACATCATTCACCACAGGTCAGTGTCGGTGAGATGTAATGGGTGCAGGGAGTGGGTGCACTTCAGGAATTGTTCCGGGTTGGCCCGGTTACGAGATTACAGCGATAGGGATTACGTTGCCTCGTGCTGCGACAGCACAATCCCCAGTGAGTCTTCGTCTACGTCGTCGTCTTCTTCGTCGGAGTACGGAACTCCACCGCAGTCTCCTGAACAGCAATCAAGTATGCAGCACTTAACACCACACGTTGCTGTTCCCACCCCTGATAGTGCATCGTTTCTGCAATTTAATTGCAACGGTCTCCGAGGAAAAATAGATGAGATAGTGGATTTCATGAATCGGAAGAATATTTTGGTCGCGGCGGTGCAGGAAACCAAGCTCAATGAAAATTGTAGCCTACAGCGTTGTGATGGTTACAACGTTCTGAGGAAGGATCGCACCAGAAGTGGAGGTGGAGGCCTAGCATTCCTTATGCACCACTCTGTTCAATACAGGCCTATCTCGCTTGAGCTTGACTCTAGTGACCCATACATGGAATGTATGGGGGTAGCAGTTAAATGTGGTACTGCCGAGGTAGAGGTGCTTAACGTGTATATACCGCCGATTAACAGCTGTGAACCGCGTTATTTGCCCAACATTAGTTTTCTATTGGAGGGCAATAACCGCCTGGTGCTAGGGGACTTCAATGCCCACCATGAGTTGTGGCATTCCGTCCTAGGTAATGACCAGAGGGGATCAGTGCTGGCAGAGCAAATTGATAGCTCCACGTTTTGCACGGTAAATGAGGATGCCCCCACCAGAATAAGGGGAGAGTGTCACAGTTCGCCAGACATAACCATTGTGTCACCGGGTCTGATAAATGACGTCAGCTGGCAGCCCGTCATTTCTCTTGGATCAGACCATCTCCCCATAATCGTCTCCATCAGCAGACCGCCCGATTTCGTCATCTCTGAACGCCGCACTTTCCTTAACCATAGGAAAGCTAACTGGCAAGGTTTCAGAGAGTTCACCAACCAACGCTTCAGAGAACTTTCCATTCCTTCTGATGTACGGGTAGCAGAAAGGAAATTCCGAGGCATCATCACTGCTGCAGCTGCTAGATTTATACCTGCTGGTCGAATACCCGAGATGAGACCCAATTTCCCAGCAGAAGCAGTTGGTCTGGCAAACGAGCGTGATGAGCTCCGTCGATCTAACCCAGCAGATCCCAGGGTCAGGGAACTCACGTTGGAGGTCAGCAGATTAGTCGCGGAGCACAAGCGGAATAGATGGTTGGAGCACCTGAAGAGTTGCAACATTGGTACCGGAGTAAGTAAACTGTGGGCAACGGTTAAGTCGCTCTCGAACCCTGGTAAAAAGGATGATAGGACCTCAGTCACATTTAACGACGAAACTGTGACTGATCCGAAGAGATGCGCAGGTCATTTTAACCGACAGTTTGTCGAGCATCCCGAGAGCGACAGGGCGAAGAGAAGAGTACTTCGTCGTATAAGATCTCTTCCAGCCGAGGAGGTACCACCACAGTTTACGATGGGTGATGTTGCATATGTCATCCGTAACGCGAAGTCATCTAAAGCGTTGGGCCCAGATGGAATATCTATGTGTATGCTGAAGCAGCTGGATGAGCCGGGAGTCGAGTACTTGACCAACGTCCTCAACTTGTCGATAGCCACCCACGTCGTCCCCGAAGCCTGGACTATGGGCAGGGTGGTCCCGCTACTGAAGCCGGGCAAGGATGCCAGCAAAGGTGAATCGTACAGGCCGATTTCACTTTTGTCGCCAGTAGCGAAGACCCTTGAGGCTTTACTCCTCCCCAGCATTAGAGAAAGCTATCCAGTTGCGGATCATCAACATGGATTCCGTAAGCAACATAGTACAACAACAGCGTTGCACGCCATTTCCACGCATATAAGTAGAGGACTTAACCAGAACCGGCCGTGCGATAGAACAGTGTTGGTAGCGCTTGACCTATCAAAAGCCTTTGATACTGTCAGCCACGCCACGCTGTTTGAGGACATTGAGAACACTTCCCTCCGGCCGAGTTTGAAACGTTGGATAATCAACTATATGTGTGGACGCCAGTCGTACGTGGAGTTCCGGAACAAGAAGTCCAAACCCCGTAGAGTTAAACAGGGAGTTCCCCAAGGTGGAGTGATTTCTCCGGAACTGTTTAATCTCTACCTTTCCGGTATTCCACGCCCTCCGGACGGCATAGAAATCGTTACGTATGCAGATGATTGTACGATTATGGCGTCGGGTCCCATTGTTGAAGACATATGTGTGAGGTTGAACGCATATCTCATCGATTTAGCAGCTTTCTTCAAAGCGAGGAATATGAAAATATCCGCCTCGAAGTCGTCAGCCACACTTTTCACCACATGGACTGCGGAGATGAGAATGCCGTTGAATGTGCAGGTCGAGGGGCATACAATTCCGACCACCAACTACCCCAAAATACTCGGGGTCACATTTGACAGCATGTTCAAATCGTCCGCGCATACCACAGCTATCTGCGATAAGCTGAAAAGTAGGAACAAGGTCCTCAAGTCGCTTGCCGGCAGCACTTGGGGCGCAGATAAGGAAACCTTGTTGACCTCTTACAAAGCGATAGGTCGGTCTGTGGCTAGCTATGCGGTTCCAGTGTGGTCTGCGAATTCCAGAAATGCGAAATATTCTGACCTGTCAGAATGCCGCCCTGAGGACAGCGACAGGGTGCCTCCTCATGACACCAGTGGACCATCTTCATGAGGAGACGAAGATCCTTCCCGTACGTCAGCATAGCAATATGCTTTCGTTGCAGTACCTGCTTGGGTGTTTCAGGGACGATCATCCCAACCATTACATGGTGGATAGGACTCCCCCGCCCAGGCGTGTCAGGAAGGATCTGCATGATCTAGAGAGGGAGGTCCAACGATACAAAAGGGAGCCTCTAGATCAAGTTGCCTATCGAGCGGGTCTGAATGGCATTCATACAGATGCAGTAGCCGCAGCGCTGAACGGTTACAAAGTGAATGCCGTCCTCGGAGCTCACCCCCCACCCATAGCAGCTGAAGAACGTCAGCTGCCTAGACAAACCAGAGTAGTTTTGGCTCAATTACGTTCTGGATGGTGCAGTCGGCTCAATTCGTATTGGGCACGGATTGATGACCAGGTGCTAAATGTCTGCCCAGCATGTGGTACAGGCCCTCATACCACACTGCACTTGTTCAATTGCCCAGCCAAACCTACTCACCTTACTCCGGAAGATTTGTGGCTACAGCCAGTGGAGGTAGCTGCATTCCTAAATCTGGAGACAGAACCGGAGGAAACTTAACAGGAAACATTCAATACATATAAACTGCTACAACAACAACAAAGTGAACAACAATTGTTCACATTGTGGGGTAATTAGTGGAACATCATCACTCCATACATAATTTGCTTCTTGCTACTAATTATTATTCATGCCGGTCGGTACATTTTCGGGTTTGCTTTTTGGAAGGGTATGTGTCTGTCTGTCTTATCAGTGAACGCAAACATTGTAATCCCCCTTTCCGAAAAAACAAATAAATCACGCACACAACATTATTTCATCATATATGAATCACAGAACACTAGATATGAGAATAATAAATAAAAAACAGACCTTGGTTAGACAAAATGGAAAAAAATCACAAAAATAAGGCAGCTAATAATCATAAGAAGACACTATGGTCCTGTACTTACGTCTGACTATACTTGTGTACCATACAACCATAGGGCTGCCATTCATTGTCACCTTTGAATCTTCCCTTTGATAGGAGCCACTGGCAGGAATCACTTCCTGCAACAAGACATAAATACAACAACACCAAAAAATTATTATCACACAAATTGCATTCGACAAATTGCCGTCGGCTTTTCGGCACCCACCATATTGCCAATTGAGTATGCCATGATAAACAATAAAGCCCAAGACCATACACAGGGCCAACTTCTTGAAATTATTCGAATTTAATTGTTGTATAAAATATTCGGCTTTGGAATTACTGCTACTGGTTGTGGGAGCTAGTTCTGGACCGCCAATACCAACACCGATAACATCGCCAACGATGTCGCCGCCACCAACACCACCGCCATCCGCACCAATTGCAGCATCATTCTGCAGATGATTTAATTCGAGCTCTTCACTCATTGCCAGCGGCGTATATTGATGCATTGGAATTCCTTTTGCGTTTTCTTTGCTGTGGCGTTTCTTGTCGAAATTAAAGCATTTTATTGCGAGTTTTCTACGTTACGTTCTATTGCCGAATATTTAAAAAATGGTGAAAAAAATAAATTTTGAAAATTTTGTTTTGTCTGCTGCGCTCTTCTGGCTTGTGAAAAAATTTCTTTCGTTTTTTGTTGTTTGCCCAAGCTGTTCCCGTCGACCACCCTTCACCCCACCGCCTGTTTTGTTTACGAAGTGCTAGGCAAAGGCATAATGTCAAATTAACGTGCAATAGGGTTGCCGTGTAGTTAGGAAATACTGGTTACCATGGGGATAAATAATTGCTTGTGAAAAACAGCTGTTTGAGATTACAAAAGTGTGAAAGTGGATAATTCAGTTCGTCTTCGGACGGCTCACAAGAAAGACACATTTTAAAGAGTTAATCACGCCTACGGGCTTATAAAAATTACAAATTGGCGTTGTGTTAAACTTTCGCTTAACTTGTCACGTTTTTTATCTACCGAACTAAACCAAAAATAGTTTATTATCGAATACAAATTTGAGCGAAAATTACGTTTTTAGACGGTATCTATATATGGTGTATGGTCCTATACCTTCTATTTTAATAGAAAGTTGACTAGCTGGAGAAGGACCCGCCTTCAGTATTTTAAAATATAAAAAATGGTCTGTTCCCGTACTGCAAGAATCTACTCTATTTTACTATTTTCTTCGATACCATAAAGGAAAATTCTTTATCGTAGTGAAAAGTAGTAGATTCTTGTAGTACGGGAACAGACCAAAAATTGGAAAATTTTGGAGGGGAAATGTTGACAGTCTCACTCTCAGAGTACAAAATAATTCGAAAAGTTCGGGAACGGAAATCTAGTAAATATTTCAAAATTAGATGACTTTACTTCAAAATCAAAAAAAAAAAACAGCCAATCAGAAGTTAGCATTCCTGTTTACCATTTTTACTCGGCCAAAATTTTCAATTAAAAACTCTCCAAAGAGAACGCCATTTTGTTTTATGCTCTCTTAAATTTGGTTTTTACCATTTTATTGTTTTACCATTTTTGTGGGTTCAGGGGCGGCAAAAATTTTAAAAGCAGTAGATTCGTTTAGGTTTTGGAACGGAACTCATACTATACTACGGTGCATGGGACAATAAATAGGTAGTCCATTTAGCGCAGCTGATGTCTGGATTAACTGTCAAAGTGCGTAATTTCTACTTGCATTCGATGCGAGACAAAAACAAAGGTTTTTGTTGTGATACATCACCTTATTATTGCATCATGCACCGTGGAACCAATATATTTTTCATAGAGAACTGTACAGTGTACACTCTCTATGTAAAAACTCGCGTGCCAAAACACCCGAACTAGGGGAAACATCGGCTGAGGACCCACTCAACCCCCCTGTCACTATATTACGTCCCTAGGAGAAAAAAGGCGGAAGTGAAGCTTTGGCAGCCACATTACTATGTCAAGGATTTAGACACGAAGAACTTATCACTGACTCCATATCAGACTATGGGAAATGTTTTACTGGATTGATTCCTGGTTCAGCGAGGTCTCTATGTTACAGCGATTTGAGATTTTGGAGACAAAATAGGCTCATTTAAGGTCGAATCCTCGCATTGCTATAGTACCGGGTTATTGGTAACTTGGTTGTCAACTTTCCTGTCGAGAGGACTTTACGTCACATCCCCATAGACATTTTTTACATGTTCTGGCTATGGGTTTCTAGTTCTAAATAACTCTGTTTGTTTTAACACATTGGGTAAGCGACAAGCAGCACTATAAAGGTACAAGGAACTGTTAGGCGAATTACAAAGGTACATTGGACTAGCGAAGAACTGGAAATCATATATAAATAGTCCAGTGAGTGAAAAAGTGATATTTTCGACGTTTAGACTCAACTCTAACTCGAGTTTCAATCGCCCAGACGTCAAATGGACTCCCCGAAACCGAGATACCAACAAATTTCTATGTGTTACCTCTCGGTCGCTTTCATCCAACCGCTAGCCCGTAGATTGGTAGTTGGAACATAAGATCTCTGTTTAGATGACCCAGATGTAATCGTAAAAATTATAAATCTCATATATAGAGTCATTAGCAGTCATTTTTAAACTAAATCAAGCACGGAAATGTGTACTATCGGTAAACATTAAAAAAATTGAAAAAACATAACCTCACATAAAATGATTCGAAAATCCGACATGTAGTACATATGCATTCCTTCTGGTGCATCCAAATATATTATTTTGGAAAATTATAAATGCTCTGTTCCAGAACCTGCAGGAACTTTCAATTAACCAACTTTTTTCAAATTCACCTTTAGCAATTTAAAAAGATTTACCATTTTTTAGTACCAAAATGTGAGATTCCTTTCCAAATTCGGATACACTTCGCATAACGTAGTATTTTCATCAAATTTAAAGGGGAAGATTTCAAAACACCTCAGAATTTATCATATCACCCAACCACTTAATAAATATTTGTGATGCTTGCAAAAAGAACCTCTTAATACGAATACTTGGCAACCCTATTATGCCGGGAAGGAAGTTGTTTACATGTGCCAAAAACAGAAAACATTTTGCAAATTTTTGCATCAAACAACAAAAAAGGAGGTCCTTTGGAATTTAAAACGAAATTTTGCGCTTAGAACATCAAACATTGCCAAAGGTCGATAAGAAATCTAACAAATGCGCGATCTATTCAGGACATTGGAAAAATTAAAAAGTGAAACAGTCATGGAATATTGTGAAGAATTTAATGGCATCAAATCGGTGTTGGAACATTGTAACAAACATGTCAAGCCATTCAATAAAGTCTATTTTCGAGGAGGTAAGTCGTTCGGTCGGCCAGGAGGGTGGGTGTTTTCCTCGAAGATGGACATATCTTGATAATAAATATTGATTTTATTTCATTCAAGGTAATGAGGCATTCATAAATGAATTGGTGAGACGTTTACAAGAATATTTAACCGAGGCTGGATTGGTGGATAAAGAAACGAAGAAACCCTTGCCGGAAAAGGGACATATTATGAGGAAAATATTAATGTTTCTCATGTTCAATACAGATGCCACATATAAATATGATTTACGTAGTGATCAAAATATTGTCCATGTCTTGGAAATATGTCCATTGCTGCCGAAATTTATGCTCGTCACCTTGGTGTGGGAGCTATATTTGGATCAATATTTTAATGAGATGTTATCCTATGCACCATGTTGGTTTTCATTTCAATATTTTGAACCAGCCACAGATTCTCTAAAATATATCGATGATGCCTTTGAGGTCCTGGCCAAAGTTGAACAACTTCTAAAGGCAATATTTATATCAATCACTCGTTCGGAACTGAGAATAATGGATAGTGTGGATACACGGATAATTTATAATAAACTATATGATTATGCCATGAATCTATTGCGGCTCTTTTATACTCCCGATGCTGAGAAATTTAAAAATTTCAGTAAGAAAAAAATGTATAAATATTCAGGGTTTGCCTTGAAGCATTTGCTGCAAATGGTCCTCTACGCATTTGATGTCTATGAAAATGGGGATTTAGCAAATCCCGCGGAAGATTGGCCGGAATATGATATTTGTCAACAGCCATGTAAGAAGGTAAATGGCAATGTTTCCACAGCGGAAAGTAAAGAGTTAAAGGAACAGCAAATGAAAATAATTACCGCCCTTCTAAATGCTCTACAAAACAATGTGCTGCTGGTGAAAATTGATATTTTCATATATTGGGTTGAAATCGATATAAATGATAAACAAACCCTACAAGAGGTGGTGGGTGAAATGGCATATCGCGTGGGCGAGAGAATGTTGAAAAATAAAACCTTTGGTCATGATGTCCAACAGCAGCTGAAGGTCATTGAAATACGTCCCCGAACTTTGGAAGAAACTGTACAAGAGGCTCGTATTGGCGACATACTCAATGCTCTCGATGATCAATCACTTGACTATAAAGTTCGACGAGCCTGGTTTAATGAACTCATCAACCGCACTGTTGTGGCTCTCGGCAACGATGAATGTCTGCAAACGATTAAACAAAACATTAAACTAATGTCCGTGGAAAATTGCAAACAAATATTAGATTTTATAAAATTGGAAATAATACGCAATCATAACGAAGATTTAAATGATTCGAATATTGACACCAAACCGAATATAGAAAATATGGATATTGATCCGGAGGATTATGAAGAACTGTCCGAGCTAGTTCTCTTGGCAATGGAAAATTTCAATGAAGATCACATTCTCGATATACTCAACTACCAATGTAAACTCTTTGGTTATGAATCGACGCTGTTTGCACGTTCCGATATCACCAATCGTAGTACAGAATTCTTTAATAAATGTGCTGCAGCCGACACAAGTGAATTTGATATGCAACAATTTCTTCTACTCACCTTTGAACAGGCGCAATTGTTGTGGCAAAATTTCTTTGAATGTGCATGCCACAATCTGCAGCACATCAGCAATTATGTCAAGGCCGTAAAACGTTGTCGCCCCTTATCCAATAATTATTTCCGACCTCAATTAATGGCAGCCTTCAATGATTTATCATGTCTGGAGCAGCGTTATTTCCCTGCCCTGCTATGTGAAATATATTTTACACTCTATTACCCGGATAATAAAACGGAATTCCTAAAGCAAATCATCCACAAACAAGTTAATCAATTTTTGGATAATCAACAATTTACCTATCTACTGCCATTGGTGAAATGTTTGAATTTAATTAATTCCTACGGGGAATCACAATCGAATAAACCATTGAATTTTGGTGAAATAACTGCTCCGGTACTGCTGATGGCTGCACAAATTATGGATAAGGCGCGTTGGGATTTGATAACTTATACAGATGTACGAGATGAAATTGTGCGAGAATGTATTCAATTTATCCAGAAGACATCGAAGAAATTTCTACCAAATGCCACGGAGAAGGGTAAGAGAGGAGGGGTTTTCTATCACAAAATTTAATAATTAACAAGAAAAAAATCGAGTTAATTTCGGTAGGTTTCTATGTATTTTTTTATTATAGTATGATTTAATACTAAATAAGAAAATTTGCACTAATTTCGGTGGGGTCGAACTATTTACTCCCTTCACTCTGACAGACATTGAAAATATCTTAAATCGATCCAGACTTTTTTAAATTGTATTCTATTTTATTTGTAAATCACCCTATTTTCTTCTCCCCAGATCGCAAATGGATAACCAAAGTCATTAAGGATTCATATAAACCCTTAACACAATACTATTTTCAAAAATATTCAATGACACCCGATCAAATACCCATAGAATTTGATCGTTTTCTAATACGGCTGGATATCGAGGATAAATCCGAAGCGGAAATGTTTCTCATTATTGTAAGTAAGACTAAAAATTTCTCAAATAATGAATAACAACAAAAATCTTTTTCCAGAACTACGTCCGCTGTACCATGAAAGAAACCGAATGGCTGGCACGCAGCGAACGTCTTCTGCCACACATTTCCGATGTTATGATCATCTTGAGCGGTGTCGTTAATGAAACTGAAAATCCCAATGCCATTAATAATTATCGTCATTGTTTGGCCAACTATGCAAATATTGTCCAACGATTTTTGCTACCCCAAATCGAAGATGATAATAAGGCAATTGAAAAGTTGGAAATTAAAGTGTTGAAAATTATCTCCTCAGCACCGGAACAAATCTATGAGGAGACATTCATGAGTTTTGAATCGCTGCTATTGGATATAGTACGTAAATGTGGACGACCCTTAGAGGAGAGTATTTCGAAGAATATACAGAAATATGTGGACACCATGAAGGAGTGCAGTGCCAAGCAAATATTTTTGGATAAATTCAAGGCATTGGTGGTGGAAATGTCTTAAGGATAGTAAGAGGGGACAGTCGGAAAAAAACATTCAACTCAAATGTAGCGTTTTAATACTATCTAATAGAGTAGAGTTCCAGTTCCTTGGTAAATAAATACTACGTATTTATTGTTTTTTTTTCAGATTCCAAGTTTTTACACATTCTCACATGTAATCGATCGTATAGTATTTATTAGATGTACTTTTAATAAAAGTATTTGAATTTTTGCTTGTTTTTTTGTTATATACTCATAAATTAAGAGTGTATTATTTTAAAATTTAATATTTATTTAGGCCAATGAGAAACTTAAAGATAAGCAGGCGCAAATCGAGAATTAAAATCGGGGCCTAAGTAATAGGATAAAAATGGTGTGTCCGGAAGCCATGTTTCATCGAGATCCAATCGATTGTGATTACCTCAGGAGGGAATGCGTTGGCACGAAATACAGGTCCTAAGACAATTATAAAATATGAGTTTTTCGAAGGTCCAATAATCCGAAGCGAGATTTGCTCCTATCATACACATCCATCGAATTAAAGTTAGTTATCTCCAAAGCTAAACCATTTAAAGCCTTTGAGCCAGAGATGTCGATGTACAAGTGGTTGGTGTAATTCACGTTGTTGAGCAGGTTGTAATTAATCCAAAAACGAGGATAGGCATTAGTGTGACATTCAAAATACCTCAAATCGATAGGGACTTTTTTATGAGGGTCTATGCCACGGTAGGGAGCTACCAGAAGAAAATTAAATACCAAAACTTGGACCAATATATCTCGTTTTCAATACCAAACATCCTAACAGAAATATCAATGTGGGTGCAAAATTTACAATATATATTTTATTCTGATATTAAATAAACACTGCCTACAGTGTTTACAATTTAGCAGTTTTTAAAGTAACTGACTATTCATCCATAATGCATTTTATTACGCCATACGCAATATAATTTCATTGCAATTCTGTCAAAATGTAACTGTAGTGGCAACCCTTTTTTCGAAAAAAAAACTACGAATATCAACAAAAGAGAGCGATAACAAAAACAATAATACTGGGAAATTTCTGCAAATGGGATTTGTTCATCCCTTTTTTATTTTACGCTCCCATTTATGCATTTATCGAATGTTTGCCTTTCTCATTTCTGCATTGGAGTGAAAGAGACAAAATGATAAACACATTAGAGAAATAGGAGAACGTGAAGAACATGCTTGCCATATTGCATTGTACGGGCAAAATGTCGAAAAGAAGATAATTTCCAGATTGATGATAATAGCACATTTACATTGTACCGTTAACCCAGTGGGTTTTATATTGTCAATACCATAGCTTATATGTCAAATAAATCCTCATAAAGTAGGTTAATCAGGTCAACGTTATAATGTACATGACGTTTTAAGATTCAGATTACCCACGTCAGCCCTTATAAAAATGTTCTATTTTTCTATGGCTCTTAAAAAATATTCTTTAAAAAAAATTCACGCCTATATGACCTTTGACAACATATTCCTTTAAAAATCCACGTGTACAGATTCCCACAAGGACGAAGGATATGTCTAAATCCGGACGAATTTAGAGCCTTGGAATTAATAGTTGCCGGCGAAAGCATCAACAACACACATACGAAATATACAAACAACACCACAAGTATACATATTATACTCACGTGATGTTAAACACAAATAAAAAGGTAAATATTCACTTGACAGGTTTATTGGGTTCTAATTTGGTGATGGGGGTTCTATTAATTTGATAGATATGCGTACATTTCGAAGGAAGTTATTTTCATTTAAATTTTGAAAGCAGAAAACGGTAAAAAACCCAGAAAAAATGGAAACATATGCCTGCATGAGGCTACTTTGTATAATTATGCCATGACATATATCTTTTAAAAATATTCTTTAAAAAATCGTAGCTATAAATAGAGCCTGGAAAAAATAATCTTTTTTAGAGCCATGAAAATATATTCTTTAAAAAAATCCACGCCTTAAAAATATGTTCTTAAAAAAATGACGAATTTATAGAGCTCTGAAAATAAATTCGTAAAAAAATCCACGCATTTACAGAGCCTTGAGAATATATTCTTAAAAATCCACGCCTTTATATATTCTTAAAAAAATCCAAGCCTTTGTAGAGCCTTGAAAAAATATTATTAAAAAAATCCACGCCTTTATAGAGCCTTGAAAATATATCATTAAAAAAAATCCACGACTTTACAGAGCCCTGAAAATAAATTCGTAAAAAATCCACGCTTTTACAGAGCCTTGAGAATATATTCTTAAAATATCCACGTCTTTATAGAGTCTTGAAAATATATTCTTAAAAAAATACACGCCTTTATAGAGCCTTGAAATATATTCTTAAAAAAAATCCAAGCCTTTATAGAGCCTTGAAAATATATTATTAAAAAATCCACGCCTTTATAGAGCTTTGAAAATTTATTCATAAAAAAATCCAGAGCCTTCAAAATATAATCTTAAAAAACCACGCCTTTCAAAATCTTATATAGAGTCTTTCAAAATTCACGCCTTATATAGAGCCTTTCAAAATCCACGTCTTATATAGAGCCTTTCAAAATCCACCCTTATATAGAGCCTTTAAAAATCTAGGCCTTACATAGACCCTTTAAAAATCCACGCCTTATATAGAGCCTTTAAAAATCCACGCCTTATATAGAGCCTTTCAAAATCCACGCCTTATATAGAGCCTTTAAAAATCCACGCCTTATATAGAGCCTTTAAAAATCCACGCCTTATATAGAGAGTTTAAAAATCCACCCCTTATATGGAGCCTTTAAAAATCCACGCCATATATGGAGCCTTTAAAAATCCACGGCTTATACAGAATCTTTAAAAATCCACGCCTTGTACAGAGCCTTTAAAAAGTCACGCCTTATATAGACCTTTTAAAAATCCACGTCATATATACAGCCTTTCAAAATCCACGCCTTATATTGAGCTTTTAAAAATCCACGCCTTGTATAGAGCCTTTAAAAATCCATGTTTATATGGCCCATGAAAAATATTCATTAAAAATTCATGCCTATATGGCCCTGCATGTACATTACAACTTTTTATCGGGTTAACCTACTTTATGAGGACTTATTTGACATATAAACAATGGAAATTTAAACCCACCGAGTTAACAAAATCTAGTACAATGTAAACATTATATAAATCATTGAAATATATTATTTAAAAAATCCTGAAAAATCTTAAATGTAAACGCCCTGTTATATTTTATTTCAAATTTTAACGTTAATTTTTAATGTCAAAAAAAAAAATACTGGTAAAATTCTCACTGAAGTGCCATTGCACCATTTTCGTTGCACAACGGCAACTCTGGCTGTCAATCGTCATCGTGTCATCGTTCATCGTCAACTGAGAAGGAAGGTTCGCAAAAATTTTTTTTCACACAAATATTCAGGAAAAATATCCTGAGGAAGTTTTCTTCTGTGTGTGTGTTTCGAAAAGAAAAATTTCACAAAAAAAAATAATAGAAAAACGAAGAAATTCTCGATTAATCACTGTTTTGTGCTAGCTTTTTAATTTATTTTGTTGTTTTTCCCCAAAAAAAAACGCAGAGAGTTTGATACTCGCCTTGCAGAAACAGCAAAAAAACGAAAAACGGAAAGAAAAAAACGCCGGCGTGAGAAAAAGAAGAAATTACAAATCGGTCGACATAATTTTTGCGTTCCGAACATAAAAGAAAAAAATTCCCGTGCAGTCATCATCGAAAGCGAAGGTTGGTTGGCAAAAAAAAAAGCAAAAGAAATATCGAACAAGAAGAAGAACAAGACAAGCAAAAAAAGAATTATAAAAGAAGGCTGAAGAGAAGAAGTACACAGAAGTAGCAACGAAAACGAAAGAAAAAACTGTCGCTTTTTTAATTAAATTCTTTTTTGCAAAAACGAAAAAGAAAAATACAACAACAAATTTCAAAATTTGTTGAGTGGAAGTTCCAAAAAACAAGGCAACAATCAACAGCAGCAGCAGAGTTAGCCGAAAATCACAAACATGGCTGTATTCACAGAGGCCCAGTTAAAAGCAAAGCTGATCATTGACCCACCAAGCGAACTGCGCTTCCGTGGTAAGTAAATTAATGTTTGTTGTTGTTGTTGTTGGTGTTGTAATAATAATTATTACATACATTCATCCGACAACAGCCACCCAATAATAATTTGTTCATACATATATATTTATTGTTAGTAAGGAAGGAAGGCAGGAAGAAATAAGAAGAGGAAGCAGGCAAAAAACGAAATGGCTAATAATGAGGAGCGGGCCTAGCCATACAAGAAACAAAAAAATGAAAAAAAAAACATGTATGAGTGTGTGCGTGCATGCATTAGGAATGCCTGAATTTCCGCGAAAATGAGTAACCGTTTGTTTTTCCTTTTTTTGTGTGACGGAACTTGTGATGAACACCACGACTGTGAAAAAGGGATTTCCCTTTTATTTCGAGTGTGACACTATCTGCCAGGTTTATTTTTGAGAATGTGCGTATGCTTGGATGATTGTTGCTTTGTCTCCCCCCATGCATACACACGTTTTGTTATGTGTCGTCGTCGTTTGGATATATTTCATTTTGCTCTATATGGTTTTTAGCCAAAAATAATTTGTGTGTGGTTTCATAAAAATTGCCTTGGCTAGATTTAGAAGTGGATGATGTTTTGGTGGTCAGTCATCGTGATGATGAGTGTTCCCCGTTTGTTTTTTTATTTAGTCAAAAACTAAAAATTTACAAAATTTTCTTGTGTTATTTTTTTATCAAGAAATCTTGGTGGTCTTCGCACTTTAAACTGTTTTCGGATTTTTGCTTTGTAGCAACATTCTGTTGCTATTGTTTGATAAACAATTACAAAAAAGAAAACTGAAAATTGCAAATCATTTTTTCAATTTTTTCCTTTTCCCAATTGCTTTCGGTTTCCATTATTATTACCTATGTTGTTTGTTTTTGTTTTATTATTATTTGCAATCTCTGGCTAAAAGCGAACTTTGACATTCTTCCATTCCATTGTTGTCCCCTCCCCCCTTCCAACACACACACAATGTGATTGTCATAATTTTTATCAAGTGGCGATGGTGTTGAGGTGTTGATGATGTTCTTGGTGCGGCTGGTGCTGCTACTACTACCAACTTTGGTTATTTTTATATGACATTGATTGTTTGTGTTCGAGAAGTGATAAGCGGCGACGGCGTCCAAATGGTGCAATTTTATATGGACTACATGGACTATTTTAAAGTTATAGCACATAAAATTACTAATTAATAATAAGTTATTGATAAAAAAATACCTATTGCTTGTGACTTTTTTTCAAATATGGTGAATATATCATGGCATGTCTTCGTTTCCTTCGTCAACTTTTACGCTATTTATTTTAGGCTTTCAAAAGATTAGTCGCACCATCAGTTCTGAGTCATGTTATATGTCTGCTCTTCATTTAATTTATTTCAATTGTTAATGGTTGACAAACATACATACAGTTTGTCAAGATAATAATTTCGATGTTAAAAATTGTGTATTAGAACCGATGTTAGTAAATTGTGGGCAATAGGATGTGGTCTCTTCTCGCCGAGGAGGTACCACTCTAGATATATCGCCAAAATATTGCTTAGAGTTGCGCCATTTGCATGCAGGCAGGACAAGTTCGAAGGTGGGCAATACCGATCCAGGTTTAGGCATACCCCCTTATAACGGTGCCCACATTTTCCGAAATTTGGAGATTTATTAGCGCGTTTTTCCAACGATTTTGCTCTAATTTAGTACATTAACTTCGTAGGGAGGATGTTAATGCTGCCAAGCTTAGCATTCTTTTTTCCCTGGACGCCCTGGACTTCCTGTGATTTTCTTATCTGAGGGGAAGGTCCAAATTTGTTATGTATAATGGAGTTAGATCAGATTCTTTGCCCCTTTTTTATCGGGGGTTCCACAAGGATCTGTTTTAGGGCCACTACTATTCATACTCTATGTAAATGATCTGCCAATGCACACACAACTTGATGAATGTAAAACCTATTAGTTTGCAGATATATTTTTACTTTTTAGTGGTTATCCTACTTTAAACCAAATATGTCAAGCCAGCATAAAAAACTGCCTTCAAAATATTTTTATATGGACTAACAGAAATTCATTAAGCATTAACATGTCTAAGAGTAAGGCTTTTCTATTTCGTCCCTCTAATCGTGTATTCCCTGAGTTCGATGTATTTATACAACATAACAGGATTCAGTTTTTGGACAGAATAAATTGTCTCGGCGTTATCATTGATAGTTAGCTTTCTTTCAGTCACCACATTGAAGCATTACCGGGTCAGATTTTATCTTAGTTACGTAGAATTTATGCTTCTAACTTATATCTACACTTTCATGTAAGGTATATAGTAGCTCATGCTTTACTAATGTCGCAGGTAAACTATGGACTTAAAGTTATTACAGGCGCAGTGGGCTTACATCTGAATACATTAAAGCGTCTCGTCAATGCAATAACTCGAAAAATATTCCTAGAAGAAATCGTGTATCGAACAATGTCAAGAAATTTGTTGGATGCACGTTTAATAAATATATATACCTTCGAAATTTGTTGTTATTTCACAAGATAGTTAAAAGTACAAAACCGACTTCATTATATAGAGCCTTCCATTTTTTCCACTCTTTCAGAAATCCAAGAATATGGAAGAACTTATTTGGAAGATCATTTTTAGTTCGAAAAGCACGTACGTGGAATTGCTTACCATTGGAGTTGCGAATTTTCTCTCATTCTGTGTAATTATACTGCATATTTTTACTTTGTCTTCTTAATAGAACTTATATCGGCTTTTAAACGGCATTTGCCAAATGTCGGTATTGTTGTTGTTGTTGTAGCAGCCCTTCACAATGGGCTATATTTTTACAACCGAAATGGTTGTAATTTGGAATTCCATATAATGTTTTTACTAAAATGATCACTTTTTCGGTTAGCCCCCATATAAAGTTACTCAAAAATCTTCTTTTGTGTTTTTATTAGATACCAAATGTCTGGAGGTATTCTTCTTCCTTTAGGAGAGCTGGAGGTCTCCTTCTTCCTGTGGAAGAGCTGCAGCTTTTTATGGAAGAAGTGGAGGTATTCTTCTTCCTATAGGATAGCTGTAGGTATTCTTTGTCCTGTGGAAAAATGCTGGATATATCATAATAGAATTTTATTTCTTTTGAAATCAAGTGGACTCTAAATGTGTAAAGCTTCTACGATACTATTCTCCATTGAGACATTAGACTTGAGTACATTGTTATTATTTATAATTGGATACTTTCAAATTGTACACTTTTTTATTCCAGTTGTCATTTCAACTCCTCAAAGAAATTATTACTATTCCATTTTAATTTCCAATTTCTTGATATGATAATTATTGTGTACGGCAGTATTCAATTTTCTTCTTCATCGTCTGCTTTGTTACATAATCACAATTATATAATTATTTTATGTGTAGCTCTTTTTTTCATTTTATGATCTTCTAAGGCTTCCCTCCTATATCTATTGTATAACCCAGACACACACACACACGAAATTGTAAAAATATTGATTATTTCGTGTTTCTTTTTTTCTTCTTCTTCACACTCTTGTTTTACTATGCCTTTAAAAAATGTGCACCACGAAACATAATCATAATAATAATGAGGATAAACTTTGTAACTTAATTCTTTTGGAATTGTGTGTAAAGTAAGGTATCATCCTCATTGTGCCGGTATACCAACACCATCTTGTATCATCCGTCATCGCACTTCTTACCATACCATCAACGATGAAACCGCCACCATAATAATGATACAAACTATACTAAACTAAAAAAATTGCTTGTGGCCACCAAAAAGACTATGAAATTTAATTAAACAGAGTGTCTATAGACATTCACACCTTACCATCTTGTTAGCCACCTTCATGAGGTGTTGCTTGGATGTTGTGTTGAAAGCGAGCGAATCACAAATTTGTTGTTTGTGGCTCACCCAGATTTTACAGATGTCCTTGTCCAAATGTTGTAGAAGAAAATTGTCATAAACTTCCACACCATTTGCTGTTTCTTTGAATTTGACCACAATCTTGTTAGCAACAGCCAACCAACCACCTGTTTGAACTTTTGTCTTCAATATTTTCTTGGAATATTTTGAATTTTATTTTTGAAGGTATTGATTACAGTTTGTAGATGATTTCTTTGTTTGAATGGAGTAAATTTTAGGATAATACATGAAATTGAAATTCACAGTATTTAAAGTATTTATATGGATGAAAAATGGCTATTGAAGGAGGATCAAGATGAAAAATAGCTAAAGGCTATAGAACATCCTTTCAAATAAATTTTATATATAGCACGAATTTTCGAATGCCTTGGACGTTATTCTAAATTTCCAGCCTCTGGATCTTTTAGCAAGTTGCAAGCAAAAAATCTTTCTTATACAAAGCTCAAGAAGTTCAGTAGTTCATACCGAAGCGTTTAGTGTACATCAGATCCGTGTATATCAGAATCTCCTAATCAAAGTTCTCTAATGTAAGGAATTTCGTGGATGTCCAAAATCTGTTCCTCATAGGAAGCCCAAAAAAGACCTGCTTTTCAGGAAGAGCAAAGAGGTATTTTCACCGAAAACCACGATCAGAAAATATTTAGTCTTAATTGACAGCCATCGTTGGAGTATGCTTGGGTCATTTCGAAATGTAGACCCGATTGATTTGGAGACCTTTTTTATCAGTCGCCACGTCAGTGAAAATCACAAGGTATTTTCAAAGGAGGTCAGACCAATATGTCTTCTGAATGTCTTCTCATATAAAATCAGATGATCTGATTAAATGACAATGAGGTCATGTTTTTACCGAAGAAGACTAGGAGGGATTAAAGCGTTCTCAAAAGATACTAGGTGGAAACCTAAATCTTCCTGTCTTATAAGACTAAGCATTTTTTAAAAATAACTTATTTTTCAGTACCATACTAAATATTTATACCCTTTACCCACTGTCCTACAAGGTATTATGTCTTTGTGAATATGTTTGTAACAGGCAAAAAGAAACGAGATAGACACATGGTTCCTTTTGAGAATATGCATAGAATCACTTTTTAAGCCGATTTA